AACCTTGAAGAGCTCATTGTAAGAGACTTCTTCCTCCTGGGACACCTTCACGCTATCGGCCTCGAAGAGGAGGTCCCCTTCCTCGCCGGCACACCTGCCCAACACCTGCGCCCAGTTGCAAATGTCCCATCTCTCTGGGTGTGGGCGGAATCCGCGAGAGGGCTTGTGTCTCTCCTGCAGATACTCGCGCACCATCTCCGGACATGTCCAGTTCCACCCCCACAGGAGAAAATCGAGCTTCAGCCTCAGCAGCACATCTTGAAATGCGCGTAGACCGATCTGCGGCACCCTGAGTGGAGACACTCGCAGCTGGGGAACCTTCGACATTGCGTTGCCTGCACACACAAACGTTCTCCCTTTCGCTCGCTCTCTCACAATCGCTACTGCGCGTCGGTCGCTCAAGCACTGACTGCTCACTCTCTCTGCGCTCAAGCTCAAGATCGCTACTCGCAATTCTCTCCAAGGTCTGCCAAGATCCTTGCGCAACTCGTCTCCGCACTCTCTACTCTCACTGCAGGTCGCTCCGCTCTTGCGCGTAATCTTGGAAACTGGAAATCGCAAAATCAAGAATGAGAGAATGAGACTGGAGCGCGGTCTTTTCTTCTCCGATTTCAAGAACGTCCAACGTTCTTACTGGTTACAACGTACGCAGCCGGCTATACGGCTTAACGGTTCGCCCTTTGCATGCGCGAATTCACGTCTCCGCACTGCGCGCATTCGCATGCGTAAATGTTGAATTCTCCCGCCGCCGCCACCTTCCGGACTCGAGTCCGCCGCAGGGTATACGTCGGCCATGTTGTCTTTTCCTAATCCGTCCCTCACCGGAGGCGTGTCGCCGCTGGTGCGTTCATTATCCGTCGGCGCCTTGCTGTAGGCGCACATCTAGTCGGAGCGAATTACGCCGGCGCGCAGTCGTACCGCTTATTTTGTCCTTTATGCCTCGTCCATTGCTGCCGGCGCATATCCGCCAGCGCAACTCATGCCAGCGCATCCGGCCGTCAGCGCCACGTCGGAGGCGTACATCCGACCGGCGCTTTCCTTCCATGAACAGCCGCCAAAGGCGCTTCCGACTCTGAGTTGGTTTCCTCCTATGAGCGCGTGATTCCGCCGAAGGCGCATCGCCGAGGGCGTACGGGAATCATTTCCGGCTGTGAACCCTAGCGCGAACGGCGCATGTCCGGCTACGAGTTTTCCGACGCTCATAACTTCTCCGTCCCTGGTCCATCTCCAACGCTCTTGGGCTCGTTAGAACAAGCGTCTCGAGCTCTTTCTAATGCAACTTCAACCAACTGGATCTACCGTGTATCCCGATCGTTATGAAGGTTTTCCCTTTCCGCGCTAGCGGCGCTTCGCCGAAGGCGCACTCATGGTCGGACGCCTTTAGAGGTCCGGGCCTTCTCCTGACGTCTTTAGCAAAACCTCCTCCTGACGTCTTTAGCAAAACCTCCTCCTGAGGTGTCTGCGCCGGAAGCGTAGCTTCCTTATACGCTGGAGGCGCGTGAGTAGAGACACCTCAGAAAAGGAGCTTTTGCCGAAGGCGCCGAAGACATTGGCGTTGGTACATCCGACTACGTGATTCTTTGTGTCCTCGTGACGATCTCATCAATCCACTCTATTTAACGTACCCTTTTCTAACTACAAACATTGCTTCGGTACTATTTTTCTAAAATTGTTTAAATTCTGCAAAAAAACAAAAAGTGTGTTACCACATGCTGGATTTCCGCTTCCACGCTGGTGGCACTGGCAGCTGCCTCTGGTGGCTTCGCCCAACTTGTAGACTGCAGGCATGCTGGAGTTCCAAGCAGGGAAGTCTTTCGGAGCAACGGTTTTCTGTTCTTTCTCGATTTCTGGACGTGGTTGCCAGTACCTCGAGACGCAGTCATTCTAAGGTCCTGATTACTAGTTAGTTTCGCTGGACTCTACTCGACTCGAAGTTGGATTTGGCGCCTGATCATCTTCATTTGCATCTGGATAGAAGCCTCTTAGACAAATCGGTTCCCTGGATCTGCTTCTCAGAGTGTATTCGGTTATGGCCGCTGTTATTTTCTTCCATAAAGAAGAAGAGTCAAAAAGCGTGCTTCAAGCAGTCGACCAAAGATTTTTGAATTTTAAATTCATTTGCAAGCATGTCTTTGCACTAGTATTCGTTTACCTCGAGGTTTCTGTAATCATGAAGAAGTCCTCGGGACTCAGTTGTTTCTCATACGAGGCTAATGTCCAAAGAGTTGCCAAGTTTGGCACTGTCAATCGAATTTCTCAGATTTAGGTGAATCTGCGACTGCGCCGTTACTCTAGACTTTTATATGCAAGTCAAAACACTTAAGCTTTGGACTTTAGCCTGTCTTCAAGTCTCCAGCCTGATTCGACCGCAACCGTGAGAGTTATCCTTTTCATTACTTGCAAGTCCTGCAGAAAGCATCAATGTTATATCTTTGCCCAGAAACGAAAGTGCACATGGAAATGTTGCCAGACAGAAGAATGGAGAAAACTGGTACATCGGAGGCGACTTGATAACGTTGCGGTTAGGTGTGAGGACGTCTTACAAATTTCCTGATTAATTAACACTCCAACATCTTGAGTGCAACTTTTGCGCTCGTAATCTGGACATGTAATGAAATATGCGGACGAGAAATCTAAGGTAGAACAATGCTTACTGACACTGGCCTCACTGCTCAAGAGTGCAAACTGGTGCAACTTGAGTTCGCGTGTGATCAGTAATTACCGTCAAGTGATTTTGCAACTTGGGCTACGGGCAGCTTAGTTTGCGGAGTTGCGGGTTTTGTGAAGTCCATCTTTAGACAAGGCAAATCAGTGCAAGGGATCCGTGCAAGTCTACCCGTAAGAAGAGATGCATGTTCTTCGAGAAAGATTTAATATGAAATGGATTGCGCAAGCTGTTCAACGAGCTCATCAAGGCCATTCCCTGATTGCACCAGATTGAAGCTGAGCTTGAAGCCTTGTCCATATCATTTTTTCTTTCTGATTTTGATCTCTCGCTTCAAGTGGCTCTGCTCTAAACACCAAACAATGAAATGTACCAGAAAATCCTTAGATATGACTAGAATAAGATCCAAAATACTGTAAGTGTGCTGAAACTACTCTTTTCCACAATTTCTTCTAGTTGTTTCAACTGGGTCCATGCAGCATTGTGCACACGTCCTGCTGAGTCAGTAATGTCTTCACCAAATTGAGCCTCATATTTCCATGTACAGCACTCGAATTCCTTGATTCAATTGTATTGTCGTGGACCGACCATACAGAATCTTGATTGGGTCATCTGCAGAAAACGTATGTCAAAAGAAACTATGTACAAATGTACATAGCATCTTCTTCCAAGTACTCTTTACGTCGTCTTAAGAGCATGAAATTGCAACGAGTCATCCTCACCATCGTCTGGTCGTTTTCACCAACTAAATCAGAGTCGTCCGCAAGAGTAACTTTAATATTGTAAATCCAGATCTATCTCTTGCCATTTCAAGCTTTCATCGGCACATCGATCGAAAGTCAAACGTTCTCAATTGTCCCAGCAGTCACGAAACTCTACCTACATTTCTCAAGTATAATAGAATCATACACATTGAAGAAGGTTACGTTGCCCTCTTCAGAATCAGTGAAACGTCGATGGTGGAACTTGGAAAGATTTTGTTAAAGGACTATCTCTTTTCTAGTTGATAACGTCGGCAGAGAAGTACTTTGGTTCCCTTCGTACTATCATAAGGATAATAGACAAAATACCCTTGTGCATGGTCCCAGATCAAAGTCAACTGCTGAAACCCTCGCAATATAGATGCACAAATATTAATTCAAACGCAACAACCACCAAAGCCATAGAACTCATCCAAGCCTCCTATTTGGGATATAATTAAGTCCCTTTTTGAGTTTGATTGTTTGTATCGTGTTTTTTTAGCCTTTTGACCCTTTGGGTACCAGGGGCTTGATGAATTAACCATTAATCAAGTTCCGATCTTCACGTTGTGTGTGGAAAAGCGCGAACACCAGTGTTGAAGGATCCAGTTGCAGTGTGTGTGCCCACAATCGTACTGTTATCCCAGACGAAGTCTTGCCTCCATGACTGAACTTACCAGAAACCCTCCGTAAAGGTCTCACCTCTATGAAAATATTGTATTTTTCACTTCCTACTGGGAAGGATCTAACAGCATCAGATCTGTACCGAACATCTTCCATGGAGACAATTGACCCGCTCTCTCCACGAAATGTCCATTCCCGACGCGCTTGATAAATCTTCCATCCAAGCGGTTTGATTATTAGCAATCACGTGATGGCAAATCTGGAAGGAGAGATTTTTCAGAGACAAGTGTTGTGCTGTCTTGCGACCGAGAATCAATCATAAAGCCGGTCTCGTCTTTGGAATCTACTCGATTCCTTTACTCACACCACTAAAAACTGCTAAAGTTTCTTCAGCTTATGGGCAACTGGATTTCCAACAAACAGTTGTATTCAGTGATCAGTCGGTAAATTTGGATCCAGTTTCAGATCGACTTCTAAACTGTACACTTGTCTTTCGTTAATTGGATGTACTTCAGTGCTTGCTCAACAAAACCGGAGTCTTGGAGTTTACATTTACTGTATGCAAAGAGGATTGCAAGGCTTAAAACACAAAATACCTATGATGGTTGAGATGGAAGATTCAATGTCACGTCCCCAGTTGCGCTTGTGATCGTGATTGGGCCTACAGACTTTCTGGACTGCATGGCATGACACTACGGTATAAATCTGAAAAGCAATATAAAATAAGTTCATGAGACGATCTACAAGGAATGTGCAACGCTTGCCCGTTACCTCCTCAATCCTGTGCTAGTGCAAACCACATGCTGGATGGTGATTTCGAATATATTCACTAGAAAACAGTAACAGAAGACTGCAAAGAATGGAGATCATGAGGACCTTTCCCATAAACAAAAAGCGTGAAGTGTCTTCCATGATAAAGTTTCAAACTGCTGATGCATAAAACAGCGCTTCATTCATTGGACCGAAATCTCCGAGGAAAAACACATTTTTATTCAGGTAATAATATCTTATCAACATTTCTCCAATTGACCAATGATTACAATGAGCTAAAGGAGGCGTTCGAAGCGGCAGTCCTGACAGGGGGATGCCTTATTGTCTAACAGATGCGTCTCTGTGATCATCTTAGGCTGCCGAATTCTTCACTTTCGCTATGATGCCTTATTGTCTAACATATTTGTAAATTTGTCTGTATCATCATCATCTTAGGCTGCCCTCGTCTTCCCTTTCGCTATGATCTCTGACCATCAGTTTCGAGGAGCAGCATGTACAGGAAGATGCCTTATTGTTCCAAATATCCATCCCATTTTTCTCCCTCTATCCCTAATCTATCTATCGCTTAGATTTGCATGCTATGACCCGAATGGTCCTGAGCTTTTAATGAGTGATAGAATGTTCAAAGAGATGCGGTTTATGTCTAGGACGTTGACTATCAGCCTAGCTAGTCAACGTACTGGACACAAAACGTTGACTAGATACAGATATAAACGCAAGTGCATGATTTTTGCCGTGGGAATGTTGTCTACCTAGGACCGGGTGAGCTTAAATTCACAGCTGTACGAAGCGAAGCAGGTTCAGGTACATGTAAGCTCGAGCTCAAGAACACGAAGGCCTCTAGTCTAGTTTTAGACAGTCACTCTATCTACGTTTTGGCGAGAAAAGAATGAATCCTTTCAGTTTCTGAGGGAGGAGGACGGTGCAGAATTTACAGCTCCAATTTCTGAGTCGGCAGGCCCGCGATGTGCAGAAGATAGAGGGGGCCCTGCCGACATCCACCGAACTCGGACGATGTCGAATTGTTGATGCGTGAAGCTCCAGCGTCGGCTGCTGCTGCTGCCCTCAGAGCGGATCAGAGTGGATCAGATGTAGTGAACCATACCCACCTGCAGAAGGCGTTCGTGCGGGATGGCGAGGGACACAGTGGAAGCTCGGCAGTTTCTCTTCAGAGCGTGGTAGTAATCATCGATCAGAAACTTGCGGAACCTCGAGGAGCTTCGACGAGATCGGACCTCGGTGTGGCCCAGCAGGTACACGACACCGGCGTCCTTCGACTCGACCAGCACCTTGAGCTCCTCCTCGACGCCCGAGTCCACATTCGGAGGCAGCTTCATGGCCTTGATGCCCGACTGCGACTGCGAGTCCTCGGAATCGTCGCGACTTCCCTGCGACAGTCTGCGCGTCATGTCCAGAGCCACGGAGGCCGGAGCTGCGCCGCCGTCGCCCTCTGCATCGATCATCCTCTGCAGCTGCGCGAGATCAGCGATCATCGGTTGCTCTTGCGCCGCCTGCACCTCGGTCGAGATGAAGATGGCCAGGTTCTGGATCAGCTGCTCCTCGAAGTCGATCTCGTTTCCCACGGACAGATCTCTGTACCCAAACCTCACAGCACATCGGAACATGCGGAATTGCTTGGGGCCGATTCGACGAATTAGAAATCGTTCCTCGTCCGGAACATAGGGCACTGGTAAGTTTTTGATGCACACAAACACCAGCACCTGGTGCATGGCTGGCAGATTGCTGATGAGGTGGGAGAAGATGGTCGGCACTCCCTGCGCCAGCTCCGAGTACACGAGGCCGATGCCCGGAACTCGAGTAATGCCGAGGTTGGATCCCAGGCCCAAGACCCAGTCGAGCGACACCTTGTTCTTCACCTCGTACTCGTACTTCTTCACTCTTCCGTAGTGCCATGTGTACATGACGGAGAAGAAGCAGGCGACGAAAATCAAGGGCACCCATCCTCCCTTGGGCACTTTGTACAAGATGGACGAGAAGTACGTCAGCTCCACTGATCCCATGAAGAAGTAGCACGGCAGTGCGATCCACAGTGGAACTTGCCATATCATGATGGCGATCAGAGTGACGAAGTTGGTCGTGACGAAGAACACCGATACCACCGCAACTCCTGCAAGCAAGCCATTCAATTCGAGACCCACAATGAGTGTTCAGTCATGCCCGAAGCTTCCTCATCGCTGGACGCGATTACATCTCACAGTAAAGTGGAAGAAGCATAGAGAAAGTCGACCTCGGCCAATCTAAGAAATCGGGAATTCCGAAAGCTATGGTGATAAAATGGGCTGGCTGACTTACCGTAGGCGTTTCCTATTTGAGTCGTATCTCTGAACCCAGCTGCGATGATGATGCAGAGAACCATCATGAGCCAGTTCAGTTCGGGAATGTAAATTTGGCCTGCATACTTCTTGCTAGTGTGCACCACCTTGACGCGAGGGAAGCAACCCAGGGTCATGGCCTGGTCCACAATAGAGAAAGTTGCAGAAATCATAGCTTGACTAGCGATAATGGCCGCACCCGTGGCTACTACAAACATAGGCCAGTAAACTTTGTCTGCACATTCCAGCGCGCATGCCTCGTTAGACCATTGACCTTCGACGGTTCGCAGCAATTTTATTACAGCAAACAAACTCTGGTAGCCAACGATCGACTGACTGACTGACTGACTGAAGAGAATGTGATGTCCACTAGAAGAGAATTGAGCTTGCCTGGAATGGAGTTGTAAAATGTTTCTCCTACGGCCTCTGGGTGCTTGAGTAAGTAGGCTGCTTGGCCAATGTAAGCTATCAAAAGACAGGGATAGACAAGCGCCGTGAAAGCAATCTGCGACACAACGCCCACGGTCAAATTATGAGTGATACATATTTCGATACAATCTATTCTCGAGTGAATTTCGGCCGCAACAAGTCTTTCAAAGTGCTTTAGAGCAAACTCCTCTCACCTGAATCGCCTTGACAGAAAAATGGCCCAGGTCAGCAAACATCGCCTCAGTTCCTGGTTATGGCAGAAAACATGAAATTTGTTAGTCAAGGAGAGAATAAGTCCTCGAGGACACTTGTGCGTCACTGATGATGTAAGACGAAGAAAAGGTTGAAGATTGAGGTTCCAACGTCGAAACTTTTAGTGTAAGCTCAGAAGATTCTACGGCTACAAAAGCGAAGGAATTTCACCACAAAGCAACGGGACACATGAGCGAGTTTGGCGAGCAAGAATATACCGGTCACGCATAGAACAATTCCTCCGAAAGAAATCCATCCCTGCTTCTTGTTTCTTGAAATATACTCGTACATGTGGTACGGGTTGAATGCCCTAAAAACAGTAGAATCCTTCATGATGATGTTGTAAATTCCGATCAAAGCGATGGAAATGAACCAGATGACAACGATGGGAGAAAAGCAGTAGCCGACTCTGTCCGTTCCGAATCGCTGGATACTGAACAAAGCGAACAGGATGACGCAGGTGACTAGGACGACGACATCTGTACACAGTCAATTCAAGAGGGATCAATAAATAGCAGCTCGTCAAGTACACAACTCCATAGCTGACTACATGAATCGGTGACCCGGCAGTACTGTGCAGGCTATTCATTAACAAGGATATGCGACAGTACCTACTGATCCAATTTAGAGGGGCCCTAGTCAATTCACAACCTTTGCTGCTGAATAGCTGTAAGCAGATTCATTCATCAAACTTTTCTATTTGTAGAAAAAATTTGCTTACTTTGGTTCAGACTCGGTTTGTTGACCTTGATACCCTGAATGGCAGACAGCACTGAGGCAGCAGAGACCACAATGTTAGCGCTATATATGTTTCTGCTTCAAATTTACGAAATCGAACATTTTGGCAGATGATTCTCACATACAAATTCATGAATTATAACGCAGACAACCAGCCATCAGACTCTTTATGTCTTAGAATTCAGATACTGCTGGCTCATATACTTGTGACCAGAAGTAGGAACAGATCATTGTCAAACATCGATGATCTATATTAATGGTCAAAATCTGGTAGTGCAGCACATCTCCAATGATTCCAGTTCCCTCGTTGACGATTACCTGAAATGGATGGAGTAAGCACACCATCTCCGATGACCATACATGTCCCAAGAATGGCGATTGTCACAACCACATTCCTGAGCCAGTTCTTCTTGTTCAATGCCTCTTTCAAATATTGCGAGCGTCTCATGGTCTTAGTAGGCGCTGCCAGTTTGTAAGACGAGACCTCCTGATCTTCAGGTACTTGATTCGGTGAGACAGATATCTTCGCATAACGGGCAATCAAGGAGTACAAGGCGAATGTTCCTCCTGCAAGAGATGACAGTTCACATTGAGTTTTACAGGTCTGAGCATCACCAGCTGTTGAGGTCAATGTCTATGCCCATGCTTCCTAGAACCCAAAAGCAAACCTCAGTATGATTGCGCAGTCATGGCTGAAGTGCTTGCACAGTGTGATTTCTTCAATACACTTAGTTTAATACGACAATGTAGCCCCAATCCTACCAACCTCTAATCTCAAACCATCAGTTTCTAAGAACAACAGAAGCCGCAAATCTCGCAAATCGGCTTCTCAGAACACAACCGCTGAGCCGGATGCAACTGTCACAGCGCGATACAGACATGAATCCCATATCAGACTTTTGTCCTATGAATATGACAGCGAATGTTCTTACCATTTCCATGATCGTTCGCACGTAGGACGATGAAGACGTATTTGATCAGAGGAATGAGGGTGAACGTGTAGATAATGAACGATAAAGCTCCCAGAATGTCGTTCTCTGATGGTGTATGATCCGGAAATGTACTCGCAAACACGTAGAGAGGAGAAGTGCCAAGATCCCCGTACACCACTCCAATCGTTTGGTATGCCAGTGTGAGAGTGACGGACCAAGGTAGGTCTTCGGTCTGCAAGAGCAATTGTCTAGTCAGCTCTTCTGAAAATCACAGTGAAAAAGCAGGTCGCTCCACATGAACTTCTCACTAAAATCGAGCGAGCTGGAAAACAAGCCGATGAAAGCTCACGTAAGAGACGAATTGCCACTCCTACACAAGGTACTGAAAATTGAACTAATACTAGCGCCTCTGTTGACAACGACGAATGCGCTTGGTCAGCCGTTCAGTATGCATGAAGTTCTCGCCCACAGTCTGAAGTCAGAAACCATGAGCAGCTTTCCTGCCAACCCAGAATCTTTCGCCATTTGACCAGACTTCCACTTACAGCAGCCTAAGCACTCACAGTCAAGTCATTGACCCTCCCTACTACTGGGAAACTTCAGCCTCGAGGGCCTGTGGTCTCTTCTGAAAAATATTCTTCTAAAGAGATGATTCAGAAGAAGATTTGGCGAAGAAACGGAGCCCTGAATACGAGTCCATTCTCATGTACGTCCGCGAATAACTGACGGAGATAGACGAGAAGAAATTCGCTCGGAGAGATTCGTGGCCAACTGAGCAATTGCTGTCAGCGGATATGCTACGAGATTTCAGAATGAAATTGCGGAGGTCCATCCGTCTGACTGTCGCGTTACGCTTATTCCTGAAATGCATCAAATTTAGGCCCGCATGCAGTGCACAACATCACACGCCGCTCGTTCAGACGAGCACTGTTGGAATCAGACTGCATTGAGAGATTTTCGGATCACGTAAGAAACGTGAACATCGTTCGCTCGTGTACCAGGACGCCGTCTATAATAGATAATGGTTCGATGCGAATCAACGAAAGCACCTGTTGGCAACATTCTACGGCCATGCCAATCTGAAGGCAACCTCGGGACATCTCACAGAACCAGCTCATAGATTCACCCGGCGCCTTCAGTCAGTGCACCACGAATTTCTGTGCGCCGGCCGTGAGCCATGCTCGCCCAGCTCTCTCCGTGCCGAGTCGTGCGTATGAGTTTCGACTGAGGAGGAGAAGGGGCTTTCGTACACCCCTCACCCCACCCCACGAATGCATCGACAGCTCGTAATATGACTGATGATGAATGACTGAGGACTGATGAATGCGTGCGAACTGTCACAGTCTTCGGCAAGGTCTGGATCAAAGCATGGCTGGAATTGATTGAGCGAGGCGAGGCATGTCATTCACACGTGCTTGCTTACCCCGTGGTGTACAGCTCCCATGGATTTAACCCTACCAGCTTCGACCAGCAGCGAGTCAACGCGGCGCAATCCAGATCGACTGCTTCCTTTACGAACGCTCGATTTCCTGGCAGAAGAGATCGAGATTCGCGGGCTTTCGGCGGTGATGGGTCCATCACCAGCCTCCGCGACACCCTCTTCTGCCATAGCTATATACTCAAGATCGAGCTAAGTCGACTCTCTGGCAAGAACTCGATGCCGCTCTCCTCCGTCGGAGCTAAGGCTACAAGGCCATGAAGGACTCAAGAGCTGAGGCAGCTTGAGCTTCAATGGCACTCAGAGAAAAGAGCGAGAGACAGAGAGCTAGAGCCCAGAGAATGTGCTCGTGAGTTCTCTTTGGAAACCGCGGTCACTTATACTGCAAAAGCCCGACGAATTTGGCCCCGCCCGAGCGCGACATCGAAACTATATTTTAATGCTAAATTAAAAGTCGCTCCCTTTCTCCGAACCTGGTTCCCTACATCGATGTGTTGCGTAGTGGAGGGAGGCCGTATCCATTCCTCGTCCGACCTTCTCCCTGCTAATGGCCAAGCACCTGCAGGGAGGCTTCTTCTGTCCTGCCCCTCGCTGCCCTGCCCCGCCCTCGCCCTGCCCGCACTCCCTGTGCGTCCATGCCCGAGCCCATTCACTGCTCCCAGAGGTTGAGTGAGCGAGCGAGCTGGTCGGGTTTCTGGCTTCCGATCCCTCGCTCTCAGAGGACAACGCAGGCCGTCATGGATCCTCTCTCTCTCTCTCTCTCTATCTCTCTCTCTCTCTCATTACATGCATGCAGCAGCAGCATCAGCAGCATCAGCAGCGCGGGGAGGCCTAATTCTCAGCAAATCTATTTCTATTTTCCTCCTCTTGCTCCGTGTATCGGTTGATTGTATTGACCTTGACCTCCCTGTTCGTGGCGTGAGTCAGGTACTGCTTCCTGGTCAACTACAATGGAGCTTGTCCTATAATTGTAACTGGCCCTCCATCTCCATCTCTCTCTCTCTCTTTCTGACCTCCCCTCCAAGCGAGTCAAAAGCCAAAAGGTTCCGCTACGAGTTATAGAAGTGACTGCTATACCATGGACATGAAACCATGGGGCCCTGGTGGTGGAGGCCCTGGCAGTTTAGAGCCTGAAAGGAGAGAGCACACTGGCGACCCCTTCGGTTGTGGGAGCCGTGGCCATAACCCAGAGACAGAGACTGGTCCCCTCCATGAGATGTCTCCAGGTTGAATTATGCTCTGAATCATCGAAGAGGAGCATGCGTCTGCGATAATGCATGGAATGGGAGTCCCACTGCGAGAAGCTGGAACAGTAGCAGCACGAGAGAGCTGATTATGGTGCCCTGACTCGCGCCCCGTGCGCTTACAAGGCCCCATGACAAGCAAGGTAGCTCTACTCTCGTCACCGCCGCCATGTCACTCACTGCTGCAGTAGAGGGAAGAGCGCGAGATTACGATGTGGGGGATAACACTACATTAAGACATAATTAGCGGGACCGCTTAATTAAGGGCGGCTTAATTAATCGTGTCCGGTGGTGGCCGGGACGAGGATGTTTCCCGAGCTCGGTTGGTTCGGGCAGGGAGAGGCAGGGCCGGGCAGGGCAGGGCAGCGGGAAAATACCGCCATTGGGTCAGCGGGAGACGACAAAACCCGGAGATTGTCAGCGTCGACGTCGTTATGGCACGTCGCCGGGGAAATATTCCGGTTTTCGGAGAGGGAATGAGGGGGCTCACAGCTTCGGCGGAGCGGTTTTGGGCGAACCCGAGTTGCGGCACGTGTTGGAAGGACGCGTTTCCCCACCGCTCAGCCACCTCAAAAAACCACGTAGCACTGGAGCACTCTGATTCACCGGATTTCCCACAGTGCTGCATGAGGACAAGGCGAAAGTGTTGTTTATTATTTGGTGTATATTATTATTGTTGTTCCGAGGCCGGCCCACCACCATCAGGCCCCAGGCCCCAGGGCCCTGGCTCCTGGCCCCTGGCACTTGCATTCCAATTCTGGTGACGCGGAGAACTCTCGACGGGATCTTCTCAGATCCCCAGATACTCATCGCCCCGTGAGAATGCGCCCTCCCGCGATTTGTTGTTTGTCTTCTGCACAAATTTAGCCCACCATGCTTCCCCGCAAACGATATCCGCCCTGCGGAAGCAACCCTCCTCACGCACGGGCTTGAACCCAGGCCTTGCGACCTTGTTGTGTGTTGCTGCTAGCTCGGATGGCCTTCGTGTCCACCGAGATTTCGCTGCCAGTTTCTGAATGTGTGAGAGAGCCCGTATACTCTTTAATTATCTGATGGTCCTGGTGTTTGATTATTTGCAGTAATGCGTTGAAAGCTCGGAAGATGGAATATTAGCCAATCATGACGAGTAGCTCGCGAGTCACGTTTCTGTCTACTGTATCTTTTACCCGGTCCTAATGAAGTCAACCGAAGGTTGGGTGGGAGAGATAGAGATAGAGAGAGAGAGTCTGTCCAAAATCGGTGTCCTCAACTTGCAACAGAATCCCAGATCGCTCAGTGCTTCAACTTGAGGTCGATCTGACTGAAGTTTAGATAGGAGGGGCTTGACTGCGACTTTATCTACAGAATCAAAGCAGTTTTATTCGAACACTTTTCCGGGCGGTTCAGCAGACCGTGAGCGAGAAAGGCTGGGCATGCTAGTGCCCAGCCTTTCTAAAGCGGTATCAAAAGCGCAGACATTTCGAAGGACACACATACACCAAGTGAGTAGTCAGATCAGGGGAAATTTGACCGACTCGACCTCGACCTACCTATCACTGCAGCCATGACATCGCTTCCCGCAGTCACCTGAAAGTTTAATGTTTCACAGTGAAGAGTTACACTTCATTGGCGAAGTAAGCGGTCTTGCTGAATAGATACGAGCTCCTCCATGTAGCCTTTGCCAGATGGGGTGTGGCTTCACGCTGCACATCCTACAGATTGTGGATCTACCAAGGGTCCCGAGAAACGGGTGGGCTCAGAGTAAATGTCATCATCATCACCATCGGCTGTAGGTACCGAGTCCTCGCACATGTTCCCTGCATTCACGCTTCTTTCCGGGAGTCTCGAGCTCGTTTTGTCCTCCTCCTTTTATATGCACGGACTCGGCAGACGGAAACACATGTGCCGGAGAACCCCCGTGGACGACAGAATACGGGCTTCTTCGCTTTCACATACTTCCGACCCCAAATTTCTACCTAGACTTAGACTTGTAGCTAATCACTTACTGTCAGGCCTCTCTAAATACTACAAATACAAATACGGAACTCGAGAGTAATTTGATTTCAGAAAGTTCAATAACTCTAAAAAAAGAAAACTCTTTGTTATCTATGTGGTTTTACTAGAGAAACTAACGGAGTCATTCAATTAAAATTTTACAATGACAATTTGTGACAATTTCTTTGTTGATCTAGGTGGCTTTACTAGAAAAACTAAGGAACGTTCAACTAAAATTTGGAGGTTATCGTTTGTGACAATGTCTTTGTTAATATCGGATACTTTATTAAAGAAACTGAAGGAGTTATTCAACTTAAACTTTGAAGTGACACCTAATGAGTTCAATCCGGCAAGTTCTAGTATTTTGACTCGTTGCTCACCTCAAGAATTTTTAGATTTGAAAATACGTAAAATCGTTTAACTAATTCTAAAATATCAAATCATTTCATATTTTCTTGGGAACAAAAAGGCAAGGATAAAAAAGTGAAACAACACAAACAGCTTTTGGGAACTGAGAACATTACGACATCAATGTTCCCGGTTCACAATAATCTATTGGAACATACTGAATCCGCCCTATATAGAGAGGCCTGGTTACTATACTTGAAGTAGGTTCCTTCTTTGTGCCTTCTGAAAACTCGTGACATGAATTGGCTGGATGAATTTTAGTGAATGACTTCTTAAGTTACGTATGTTTCTCACGAGTGGATAATCCGTTTGTGCTTTGAGTGCAACTCTTGATAACACTTGACTGCATCTTCTTCTTTGTTTACCTACGGACAGCGCGCCATTCACCACGGATGGTAATGACTCCTCAAGCTTTGAACTTCGGAGTACTGCTATCATGTACTGGGTGTGCGGCCTGAGATGTGTCAACGGCCTGACGTAGTGGATGAGGGCGTTGACTAGTGTGACTCTGAAGTATTCTTTCTCTTTCAAGGCCCTTGATTTTCTCTATAAAGTCCCCTAAAACGCCACACAGCTACTTTCATTTCACAAAAGGCAGACAATTATATTACTCTACACTACTACTTTCGAGAGCTCTACAAATTCGGATTCATAATCACGAACGGTCTTTTGACCCTCTCACGTACTCTCCTCCTCTCCTTCTTTAGATCCTATCCAACCTTCCTCTACTTTCTTCCAGTTATAATTTCTCATTCTCACTTTTGACCTCTTGGCTGTGCTTTGCAATACGAAACGAAGGTGATTTTATTCACTATAAATATGTAGAGAACTGGAAACGTCATCCTCTCTCACTTGTCATAAAATTCCGTGATTTGTAACATTCAGCTCCTTGTCTTTGAAATCACCACTGTACAAGACAATCGGTGGGGCATTTTAGAAAATCTGCTGTTGTTAGTATTGAGTTTGGGATCCAAATAGATATATTTCTCTTCTTTGTTCAGTTGCTACTTGTTATTAACACGACACCTAATATAGATGCATGAACATCTTCACAGCCACCCGGGACGTGGCTACCAGATCGCTCCGTCTATGTGTGGTAATACTCAATGTTCGATCGATTCGCAAATCCTTCAGGATCATATCACGAACTCTTTTACGAGGACAATTGTTGTGAACCTCGGGAGTAGGACCCCGAATGAACCTTGCAGCATTAAATATGCCAATGGCAGGGTTTCCATGTCATCAAAGGGAGTAACCGCTCGTCCCCCTCGAGCCATACAAAAAGGAACATCCGAGATATCGGTTCCCACCTGTCCAGATCAGGGGTTCGAACCCTGGAGTTCGAACCCGTCCGCAGTGAGGAAAGAGTCTGAGGCCCCATTGACTGACGATGACGCCGTCCTCAGTTGGGGGCCCGGAGAAAAGCCCCGGTCCCCGCGGAATAGCCCGCAATGGAGGTGGGCCCCAGTGAGGGGGGTTGGGGCGTGGGGACCGGCGACTGTTGACTGTTGACATTGGCGCCCGCTGGGGGTGTTTCGTCTACGCTTCGCAATCATATCACTCGGTACGGACGGGCTGGCAGGACCCGTCCGTACCGCGTGAGGCCGTGGGACCGGGTTGTGGTGAACGTGTCGGGATCGATCGATTGTCGACGATGACTCTGCTGCTGCCCCTTCGGGCCCCTCTGGCCGCTAAAATATCTGGTGAGCCCCC